ACCAGATTAGGGACCTGGAACATCAGAACCCTAAATGAAAGCAGCAGATCAGCCCAGGTCGCCAAAGAAATGAGGAGGTATAAATTAAAAGTCCTAGGATTAAGTGAGACATGATGGAACGGCAGTGGCCAAACTAGGTTGGTCTCGGGAGAGACTGTCATCTACTCAGGCAACGAGGACGAAGATCATGAACACACGCAAGGTGTAGCCATAATGATGTCTCCAGAAGCAACAAATGCTTTGATTGCATGGGAACCAGTCTCGCCACGACTCATAGCAGCTCGTTTCAATGCCAAGGGAAGGAAAACAACTTTAATCCAGTGCTATGCACCCACAAATGCTGCAACAGATGAAGAGAAAGAGGACTTCTACAGCGCCCTGCAAGCTCAAATTGACAAATCACCAAAAAGAGATATAAAGATAGTGATTGGAGACATGAATGCCAAAGTTGGAACAGAAAATAAAGAACGGGAGCTCACAATGGCGAAAAATGGAAAAGGCATAATAAACGAAAACGGGGAACTCTTTGCTGATTTCTGCGCATTTAATGATCTAATTATAGGGGGGACAATTTTCTCTCATAAAGATATACATAAGACCACCTGGACGTCACCGGATGGTAAAACAAAGAGAAGCAAATTGATCACATCACAGTTTCCAGAAAGTGGAGAAGAAGTTGAATGGATGTTAGGGAGAAACGAGGTGAAGATGCAGCCTCAGACCACCAACTCGTGATTGCAACACTAAAATCAAAACTAAAATCCTACAGGGATGAAGCTGATTAACCGCACTTTAAATTCAATACAACATATCTTAGGAGTCCAAAAATAAAGGAAGACTAACTGCGCAGTAAAAAAATAAGTATGAAGCACTCTCCAGCCTGGCAGAGGATACAGTAGAGCAAAAATGGCTAGGAATACAGGGATTATGAAAGTCAACATGCACTGACATATTGAGAAGAAGAAAAAATGAACAAAAAGAATGGATCACAACAGAGACATGGGCGAAAATTGAAGATAGAAAAGAGATAAAGCAAAAGATGAACAAATGTAAGGACGAAAAAGAGAAAATAAACCTCAGAACACATTATTGTGAAGTAAATAGCATGGTCAGGAAAAGTGTAAAAGAAGACAAACGACTGTTCATACAAGAGATGATAGCGGAGGCAGAAAGTGCAGCACGACAAGGAAAAATGAAGAGGCTCTATGAAGTAACCAGGACCCTATCAGGCAAACGTATTAATTCCAACAAACCAGTAACGGATAAAGTAGGAAATATCTTAACAAGTAACACAGAACAGAGAGACAGATGGGTACAGCACTTTGATGAGATTTTAAACCATCCTCTCTCATCAAACACCCCTAATATACTACCTGCAAACCACCTACTAAATGTGTGTACAGATCCACCCACAAAGTTAGAATCAATAAGAGCAAAAAAGAACATGAAAAATGGCAAAGCAGCTGGCCCGGACGGCATCCCACCCAGAGGCACTAAAAGCAGACCCAGCCATATCAGCAGACATACTACATCCTCTACTTAAGCAGATATGGGAAGAAGAGATGATTCCATCTGACTGGAAACTGGGATACCTGATAAAACTGCCAAAGAAGGGAGACCTGACACAATGCAACAACTAGAGAGGGATAATGCTTCTTTCAGTCCCAAGTAAGGTGCTGACAAGAATCATCCTAGAGAGACTTAGAGATGCCTTGGACAAAAAGCTGAGACAAGAACAAGCTGGTTTTCGTCAAGACAGGCCATGTACTGACCACATTGCCACGCTGCGCATCTTTATTGAACAGTCCCTTGAGTGGCAATCCCCCTTATACATGACTTTTGTCGACTTCGAAAAGGCGTTTGACAGTGTGAATAGAGATGCTATCTCGAGGTTAATGAGCCACTATGGAATAACCAAAAAAATTATATCTATCACACAGAAACTATATGAAGACTCCATCAGTCAGGTAATACACAAGGGAAAACTAACAAAACCATTCACGGTGAGTAAGATAGGGATTTATGCTATCGCCAATGATATTCTTGATGGTAATCGACTGGATCATGCTGAAAACCACAAAAAAACAACAACACAGGAATCCAGTGGAGTTTCACCAAAAGGCTGGAGGATCTTGATTTTGCCGATGACATCTGCCAACTATCTCACAAGCATCAACATGCACAAGCCAAACTAAATCGGCTATGTGAAGAAGCCATCAAAGTTGGACTAAAAATAAATAAAAATAAAACAGAGGTCATCAGAATCAATAACAGCCAGGACCTGCCCATACAGCTAAATGGAGAAGATTTACATGAAACAAACACATTCACATATCTGGGAAGCGTGATCAACAAGGACAGGGTAGCAGACGAGGACATAAAATGCCGTATCAACAAGGCTAGATGTGCCTTCAACTCACTGCGCCCGATGTGGAGGTCCACGGCCCTGTCACTCCGGAGCAAAATTGGGATTTTCAACACAAATGTCCAGGCAGTGCTTCTCTATGGCTCGGAGACCTGGAGGGTTACGAAGACAAATACTGATAAGCTACAGGCATTCGTAAACAAATGCTTACGACATATACTTAAAATAAGATGGCCAGACAAAATATCAAACAAATACCTGTGGCGAACTTTAAAGCAACAGCCAATAGAGACATATATCAAGGCCCGTAAATGGGGATGGATCGGACACACATTAAGAAAAGAAAAAGAAAACATCGCAAAACATGCTTTGGAATGGAATCCCCCGGGAAAAAGGAGGGTGGGCCGGCAAAGGAAGACATGGAGAAGAAAGTTTGAAGAAGAGGCGAAAACAGCTGGGCTCACATGGGCACAAATAAAGGGGGCAGCCCAAAACCGAGTCCGCTGGAGATGTGTGGTTGCAGCCCTTTGCTCCCCATGGGCTACAAAGGAATGATGATGATGATAATATTGGCGGTTGTCATTTCCTGTATAAATGATGGTGGTCTTAAATTTATCAATGAATTTCTCGATGTTGTAGTGGTTGCTGTGAATTTGTTCTCTACTGTTGTTCTGAAGATTTCTGTCATTTTGGGGTCCTTCCGTTTTTCAAGTTTGAATCCCAGTCTTACTGCTCGACGATATTCTAATGTAAACGTTAGCTCATCGTGACAAGGTCGTGATCGCTTTCCACGTCAACACCTGGAAAGTTCCTGTCTTGGTAATCTGTACACCAGACCTGTCTTGGTAATCTGTACACCAGACCTGTCTTGGCTGTTCTTCTTCCGTCAAGTCCCGCATGGTAGTTGCTGGTAGAACTTGATAGTCTTTTTATGTCCCGTATCTAGGACTAGGCATCACACGGCGGCGCCTATCCCACCCCGTTCCACCCCATCCCACCCAATGCCTGAACACATCTGATATCATACTTATCAGTTGTCGAATTTCGTCAACCTAACTGAAACGGTACTCTAGTGATCGTATCTGCACACGCACACGCAGGCACGCACACACATACACTTATACATACATAGAAATACAAACAATATTGAAAAAAAAATTTAATCTTTTTATTTGTCTAAATCTCATTTGAATTTTTTACCAGTCACTGTCAATTACATTTTTACTTTCACGTTTTACATCCCCTGAGTCGGAAAAACATAGTTTTGCAATCTTGTCCGTATGTCTGTGTGAGTGTATGCGTGTGTGTGTGTGTGTGTGTATGTGTGTGTGTCTGTAAACACGATAACTTGAGTACCGATACAGCTAGGTTGATGAAATTTCTCATATAAGTATTTTATCAAATTTGTAGTTCTGTATCAACTTTTCAGCGATTTCCGGTAACCGGAAGTGGAACTTTTTCTACTTTCAATTTTTCAAAAGCCTATAACTTGAGTACTGTTTCAGATAGATGAACGAAATTTCACATAAAAGTAAAAGATCTACTTTTCTTGCTTCTTTCAGATTTTGAGTTATTTCCGTTGAACGGAAGTAGTAATTTACTTTATTTCCCATTTCTCAAAAAAACGCATGGGAATTTATAAAGTACTAATTATATGCCGCACTTTTATACACAGATTGTTTGGCGTTCACTTGGTGCGCAGTTCTTTTTTTTTTACGAGATTCTATTCCATTTTAAAAAGTTTAAGTAAATAAAAATGGATTAAAAATATTGTCTATATCCCGAGTTGCCATCCCCCGTAGTGTTATACAAGAATATTCGAGAAAGTTTAGAGTTCACTCCCAGTTCATTTTTTTATATTTTGGTGAGGAATAAAAACTGTTAAATCAGTTCGTAAAGTTAATTTTCTTAACTGTGTAGATTGTTCAGTAATATTGGTCGGAACCGTTTTTTTTTTTAAACATTTTTTTCTACCCCATTCGACACATCCTTAGGTTCTCAGCGGTTGATGAATAACATTTCTGAAAAGTTGCGTTCGTTACCGGAAGTCATTTTTTCTGTAGCATGACCAGCATGGTCAAAGGTTATGACAGAAAGAAATTAGCGTTAGAACTTTATACCAAGTTGTGGTACATTAAGTTTGATGTCTGCATGCAGCCACTCAAACACACACCTAGACACACACATAGACACACACACACAGACACAAACACACACACACAGCTGACGAAAACAGGCGCACACGAGTCACAAGTAGCAGTCAGGAAAAATTGATTCCAATGTCTATACAAGAAGCGACATCAACTGACGGCAGCAGTGCTAGCCGATTGTTAACCAATCAATAGGACTGACAGAATTGCCGAGACAGGCACCAAGCTAAAGGACGCCCCGCCCACAGACTTAACACTGTCTGTCTAGACACGTTTCCCCTCCTCCATGTCAGGAACCTTAACTCCAAGACTTTGAGATCGATGAATGGGCGGGCCAAGCGCAAGTCTTTAAGTTGCTTCTGCCAAAGGAGAATTAAAAGTCGAGGCTTCTTAGCTAATATAGAGACGTTCAAAACTTTGAAATCATCAACATATTTCAGCTTACATCGAAGCGAAACGTCGAACGGAAACCACAAAGAACACTTACCTAAATAAGATAAAAATCAAGCAAAAAACTCAGACGGTATCTTCACAGTCACAATGGCAGCCACGCAAAGAATACCTGCCAAAAGTAAGTTTCGTTTTTTAAGTGTTTTAATTGTATTTTAATAGATTATTAATATGGCATTTTGATTTCGTGGTGGTGTAGATTTTTTAAATGTTAATTTAATTTTTATCTTATCAAATTCCAGCGTTATTTAATTATGTTGTACGTAATGTGTTAGTTTTGTTGTATTACATAATTCATTCAATACAATTTTGTGTAATCATCCCTGTATTTGCAAAATGAGCAGAAACAAGTTTGAGTTGGTTTAGAGTGAGTTGAGAGAAACACGTCATGTATTTAACCTGCTACCCCTGCGCTGTATCAAACACCGACTATAGAGAATAATCATAGCTGTTGTGCACAGTCTATCTCTATCAAACTTGGGAGGGGGGGGGTGACACCAAGTGAAAATTTAGCATTGTTTACAGATTTAAAAATTGAGTATTTTTGTCGTCCAACGACAAAAAAGGAGAGTCAACTTCTAATAATTTACTAGGAAAACCTTTTTTTTTTCACTTGATTTAACAACTGCTTCAGCTGAAAGCCCCTTCACTTAAATTAATAAACACAATTTTATTAATCAACGCCATTCGATATAAAAAGAGGGGGAAGGGAAGTGACATTAATTGCAACTTTTACAGAACTAACAATGCATTTTCAAACTGATCAGGGAAGTGACATTAATTGCAACTTTTACACAACTAACAATGCATTTTCAAACTGATCAGGGAAGTGACATTAATTGCAACTTTTACACAACTAACAATGCATTTTCAAACTGATCAGGGAAGTGACATTAATTGCAACTTTTACAGAACTAACAATGCATTTTCAAACTGATCAGGGAAGTGACAATAATTGCAACTTTTACACAACTAACAATGCATTTTCAAACTGATCAGGGAAGTGACATTAATTGCAACTTTTACAGAACTAACAATGCATTTTCAAACTGATCAGGGAAGTGACAATAATTGCAACTTTTACACAACTAACAATGCATTTTCAAACTGATCAGGGAAGTGACAATAATTGCAACTTTTACAGAACTAACAATACATTTTCAAACTGATCAGGGAAGTGACAATAATTGCAGCTTTTACAGAACTAACAATGCATTTTCAAACTGATCACAACGACGGGATTGGGTGACACGTTATTGCATCATTGCAAATCCGCTAAGATCTAATTACTAACTTATCTACGCTAAGCTCTGTATCAAGCAAATTATTATTTAAATACCCCCGAGTGTGGCGGAGTTTTATGAGCGCATCTGTGTGTGTGTATGTGTGTGTGTATGTGTGGAGGATGCTGACACTAGTAAAACAATAATTATAAATTTTACTTTTTGTCTTCAGTAAATTCGCCTTTTATCGATAGAGTAGATTTTGTATTTTTTTGTTATGCATCATTTATAATATGATTAAAGAGCTTTTTTCAATCGACATTAAACGTTTGGTCTGACAGAATGTATGTTGACACAGTATCAATTGTTTGATGTCTTTTTACTTTCTCGTATATACGTAGTATAGAGAAAGTATTGTAATCGTGCAAAAAAAAAAAATCGAGATTTTTACAAATCTCGACGTTTTACACCTCACTGATACGGAAAAACATAATTTTGCAATCTTGTCCGTATGTCTGTGTGTGTGTCTGTGTGTCTGTGTGTCTGTGTGTCCGTGTGTAAACACGATAACTTGAGTACCGTTACAGCTAGGTTGATGAAATTTCATATATAAGTATTATATCAAAATCGTAGATCAGTATCAACTTTTGAGCGATTTCCGACAACCGGAAGTGGTACTTTTTCTACTTTGAATTTTTCAAAAGCCTATAACTTGAGTACTATTTCAGATAGATACATGAAATTTCACATGTAAGTAAAAGATCTAATTCTCTACCTTCTGTTAAATTTTGAGTAATTTCCGTTGACCGGAAGTAGTAATTTACGCTACTTCCGATTTCTCAAAAAACTAATGTAAATTTTAAAAGTACTAATAATATTGCGCACTATTATGCGCTTTTTTATTTCGCGTTCACTTGGTGTGCAATTAATTTGTCTACGAGATTTTATTCTATTTTTAAAAATTTTAAGTATTTAAAATGGATTAAAAATCATGTCTATAGCCCGAGTTCCCATCCCCTGTTATTTTATATAAAAATATTCGAGAAAGTTTAGGGGAGATCACTCCCGGTTTATTTAACATTGAAATTAAAAGCAAAATCTCTATTTTAGAATCTGCTCTAATTATCTCTCAATGTAATCAATAAAACTTAATAACTTCTTAAGCCGTTTTTTTTAAATGAAGGAGGATTTCTAAAAGTTATACATTCACTGTTTATTTCTTAATATCGCAAGGATTCCAGATTGTAATTACTGTAGTGACATGTTGTAAGCTCGTATCATTTAAGACTTGGGATAGATTTTTTGTACATTAATGAACATTTGTTATCAGGAAAAATATGGTGTCAATTTTTACTCTCTCGTATACAGTGTAAGGGCCTATAGAGGAATTATTGTTCTCGTGCACAAAAATTAAATGGAAATTTGACAGTTTTCACCGTTTTATTTCTCAGTACTTCATCATACTAAGAGTATAGGGGACTTATTTTAATCGAGCAAAAATTCTAAATCCAGATTTATCAACACTTCGCCGTTTTTAGTAGCATACTTAATTGAATATAATTTATAATTATAATCAGAGTAAGAATCATTCCAATACAAAATAATGTGTTCGTATTTCTAAGTGCCTGTCAAAATAGAGCTGACACATTGACAGTTTGACTTTTTGCGTCATTCATCGTGTACTCAATTCTAAATGTACTTTAATTCATGCCCTATATCAGTGTTAATGAGCTAAACTGGTTATAGTCTGATTAAAATTTTGTATACCCAGAAAGGTAAAGAGCTTTTAGGGATGTCAACGTAAGATCAAACTCTTTGGTCGCTATAAAATTCATTTTCCTACTGTTAGAAATTTTTTTAAATTTAGCCCAAAAGTGCACACAATATATCATTATACGCATACATACACGTTTATGGCATATATTTAAATATATTTACGTTTATATATCAGTATATATATATATATATATATATATATATATATATATATATATATATATATATATATCCTTTTTCCATCCTTCCGTCATCGGTATAGTCATTTGGTTAATTGTCAAACTGCGGTCGTGCTTGGAGGAGTCTCTCTCTCTCTCTCTCTCTCTCTCTCTCTCTCTCTCTGCTTTATTGAGCATTGAGCATACCGTAATTGGCTACTCCGATACACAAGTGTCCCAGGCGTTCAACTGTGTCTTTACTAAATGGAAAAACAAAAAAATTGTAAATGGTTTTATCCGGCTTGAGAAACGCAATCCAACCAGATCAACAACGTACTGCACCTAAAAAGTTGATCAACAACGTACTGCACCTAAAAAGTTGATCAACAACGTAATGCACCTAAAAAGTTGATCAACAACGTACTGCACCTAAAAAGTTGATCAACAACGTACTGCACCTAAAAGGTTGATCAGCAACGTACTGCACCTAAAAAGTTGATCAACAACGTACTGCACCTAAAAAGTTGATCAACAACGTACTGCACCTAAAAAGTTGATCAACAACGTACTGCACCTAAAAAGTTGATCAACAACGTACTGCACCTAAGAAGTTAATCAACAACGTACTGCACCTAAAAAGTTGATCAAAAACGTACTGCACCTAAAAAGTTGATCAGCAACGTACTGCACCTAAAAAGTTGATCAAAAACGTACTGCACCTAAAAAGTTGATCAACAACGTACTGCACCTAAAAAGTTGATCAACAACGTACTGCACCTAAAAAGTTGATCAACAACGTACTGCACCTAAAAAGTTGATCAACAACGTACTGCACCTAAAAAGTTGATCAACAACGTACTGCACCTAAAAAGTTGATCAACAACGTACTGCACCTAAAAAGTTGATCAACAACGTACTGCACCTAAAAAGTTGATCAACAAGTACTGCACCTAAAAAGTTGATCAACAACGTACTGCACCTAAAAAGCTGATCAACAACGTACTGCACCTAAAAAGTTGATCAACAACGTACTGCACCTAAAAAGCTGCAGTTGTCACATTTTTGCTTGCACCAAGTTCTTCTTACAAGTTTTTTTTATATGATTTTCTCCTTTTTGGTACATTATAACATAAAAGCTTGTTATTGAAACTGTTTTTGTTTGTTTCCTTTTTACTAGCTTTTTATTTAACTTGTTTCCTCGTACTGTCTGTCTGTCTTTCTGTCTAGATTGAAACGAGTGATCAAAATTTCGAGTAACTCCAACTGACCAATACGTTTCAAAGTTGGCAAGTGGATCAACACTTGAAGACGAAGCTATCGGACATCAAATTTTACTCAGTTGGAAGCCTGATTAATTTTTCATGAATTAATTAAAATTTTCAGAAAATAGTAAGGTGTCCCGCTACTACTATGCCGTACTATTATTCGCGCATTATCATGTTCATTTAGTTTTTAGTCATGAAACTCTATTGTATTAAAAAATTTATTTTTATAAAAACGAAACTACACATTTTTAGTTGAAACAGTAATGAAAGTATCAAGCAAAATTATGTAAAATACAACTTCCGTCTACATGAAATCGCTCCTAATATGAAAGAAATGTGTGCGCATATGATGGCTTTTATGGTGACCAGAAAGATGCGTAACAGAAAAAAAGCGCAACGGAAAAAGTGCAAACAGAAATTTGCGCACACAGAAAAATGCACAATGAGAAAAATGCACAAACAGAAAAATGAGCAAACAGAACAATGCAAACACAGAAAAATGCGCACGCAGAAAAAAAAGCGCATACAGAAAACAATTGTGAGCGTGACAATGTTTGTATATATATATATATGTGTGTGTGTGTGTGTGTGTGTGTGTGTGTGTGTGTGTGTGTGTGTGTGTGTGTGTGTGTGTGTGTGTGTGTGTGTGTGTGTGTGTGTGTGTGTGTGTGTGTGTGTGTGTGTGTGTGTGTGTGTGTG